ATAGACTACAGCAAAGCATAATATTGTGTAGATCACAAAAAAACTATGAAATGCACGCAGACATGGGGGTGCCACTACATCTGATAGTGCCAATGAGGAATCTGTACCAAGGACAAAAGGCCACAGTCAGAACAGAATTTGGGGAAGCAGAATGGTTCCTAATAGGCAAAGTAGTTAGGCTGCATCCTATCACTCTACCTGTTTAACTTATATGCTGAAAACATCATAAGAAAAGCAGAATTAGAAACAGAAAAAGGAGGAGTTAAGATCAGAGCAAGCAACATTAACAACCTACGATATGTGGACAACACCATAATATAAGCAGAAGACATTCAGGAATTGGAGCAGTTAATAAGGAATATCAAAGATGAAAGTGCAAAGGCAGGTCTGATGCTGAACATAAAAACAAAAACAAAAATAATGACCACAGAAGAAATACACAAATTCAATCTAGACAACCAGGGAATGGAAATAGTTAAAGAATTCAATTTTTTAGAATCAAACATTGACCAGAATGGAGACTGCAGTCAAGAAATAAGAAGAAGACTAGGAATGGGTAGGGTAGCTATGAAAGAACTGGAAAAGATACTGAAGAGCAAAGACATACAACTGAACACTAAAGTCAGAATCGTCCAAGCCATTGCATTCCCAATTATCATGTACAGATGCAAGGGCTGAAAAGTGAAGGAAGCAGACAGAAAGAAAATCAACTCTTTCGAAATATGATGCTGGAGAAGAGTACTTAGGATACCATGGACAGCCAAGAAGACAAACAAATCGGTTCTTGAACGGATCAGATCAGGGGTCTCCTTGGAAGGAAAGATGATCAAGCAAGGCAGTAGAAGATAGGGATTTTTGGAGATGTCTCATCCACCGGGTCACCATGAGTCAGAACAAACTTGAGGGCAGCTAACAACAATAAATGGGGTTCTGTGGTGCTTGTGGGGATGGGTGTATTTTTGCATGTTTCCACATATTAGGAGATGTCTGTATGGTTTGGTGTTTAAAAATATCCAAAATTTATGCTGGAAAAATTAAAAATTGGGTGGTGACAGGATTTGGAAAACTAGTGAAGGCTTTGTGAGCTACAGAAGTGGGCTCCAGAGATACATTTTGCCTTCATCTATGTAAGAGAAGAGCAAGAAGGACGGATAAGGCATCAGAGCGATATCTTAGAAGTGAATAGGCTAGAGCAGTATAAACAGTGTGATGGAAAGATTGTTAAAAAGCTTATGTCCCTCTGCAATGAATTGATGTCATTCATGCATAACATGAATAGACAGCAAACTGATAGTTATTTACTTTGTTATTGCTGTATTTTTACTGTCAGGGATAGGGAGGGGTTCTTGTGGGATTTTTCTGCTTCATATTCCAAAAATAACTTGTTTAGATAATATGCACCTTGATGGGGGGGGTGGATTTGCTGCTTCAGCCCAGACATCAAATTGGCCAGGATCCAATAGGGCTGAAATGGTTTTCATCTATGGAACTGGGAGGGGATAATCTCTCTTCCCTAGTTTAGCCCCCCACTCACCCCTGTAACCTAGTTAGAGCTGGATTCTCAGTGGCACCGAGAGCTGCAAAAGGGAAGGGAAAGAGAGTCCAGCTATTACTGGCATTGGATTTAGCCCACTGTCTTGGACCTGCCCTGCTGCTTTAAGTCATAATCCAACTGCTCAGAACAGTACAGCCAGCAGCAGGCTTTAACCTTGGCAGCAATCCATGTTCACCCTCCAGCAGTGTAGAAGATTTGGTTAATCCTGGTTTAGCTTGTTGGACTACAAACAGATATAAAGCTATCCAGAGGTGAAGTCACTGCATCATTTAGCTCTGAGGCTCTGCAGGTTGTTTGTCAGCTCATGTTGACAGTGCTTCTTTTTCTACCACCTTTTGTCCTATGCTGAAGGGTTTTCTCCCCCAGGACCCTTATACCATATTTCATTGCAGATATTGTTGCAGCCTGCCAAGTGAGAGGGCAGAAGAAAATGATTTCTGGGAATACTGGAGGTGTTTTTCTTGCACTTTGTAATCCTTGGCCATAAAAGTGCTATAAAATTTTGAAACATAATAATTTACCTTGGGCTGCTATTAACCAACGATCTGGAAATGCCCATAATTATTAAGTATGTTGTATTTTTATGGGATCCAGTGAGGAAATCAAGGATAATTAAGCATTAATTACTTCTATGCTGAAGCCCATTACAAAAAATATTATATTATAATGATGGAAATGCTCACATCTTTCCTAATTCAGTTTTATCACAAAACTCCACACAGTAAAAAGCACTTGCCAAGTCTAGTATTATTTACAGACCCAGATGTTGGACATTATAATTTGCAAAAGGTGGGGGGAGTAATATATTTTCAGATCCAACTTTCTAATTGTTCTGTTTTTTTACACTACATTCTTAAACAGAGAAATACATTTTTTCTAGTGCCTTTTGACACTGCAAATTTTCTTGAAATCTTTTGAAATAATTTCAGAAATGTCTTAAGCTACATCTGCATGGCAGAAATATTGCAGTTAGACACTTTAACTGCTATGCAATGGAATTCTCAGATATGTAGTTTTGTGAGTTATTTTACGTTCTCTGTCAAAGAGCTCTGGTGCCACAGCAAACTACAAATCCCAGGATTCCATAACATTGGGACATAGCAGTTAAAGCAGTGTCCAACTGCGGTATTTCTACAGTGCAGATGCAGACTTACTCAGGAAAAACTTCAATCTGGTATAAGTTTAGAGTTGTGTGTGGCACCTCTCTTGTCATGAGGAGAGATTAATGAATTGGGAAGTATTGCATTTATTTCCTTGACTACTGGCTGCATGAGCCCTGAGATGAGATCTTTCAGCAGGATGGTCAATGGTTTCTTTGATTAGTTTAAATCCTTGTCTGTTCTTTTATTTTGGCTTTGTTGTCTCCCACACTGTCAACATATGTATTGTTGATGCTTCAGGCAAGATGGCCCAAGACATTTTGCCAGCTGGGACAAAAGAGAAGACAATGTCATCCATCCCCCTTTTACATGCCACATACAGATGCAGAACTCCAAGGGGAGTTGCAGACTGCCAGAAATAGTGCAAATTGTGTCCACTTTTAGGGTTAGGGTTAGTGCTAGGGAATCATGGGGATTTTTTTTTTCTGGGACATTGAGCCTTCTCTGTCAGAGAGCTCTGGTGCCACAATAAACTACAGTCCTCATGATTCCCTAACCCTAACCCTAAAAGTGGATTCAATTTGCACTATTTCTGGCAGTCTGCAACCCCCCCAAGTTGGTTGCTGAATTTTACCTCAAAACAGAGACTGATAAAATATCCTCCACGAAATCTCAGGGAGCATACCTTGTCTCCCACAAACATTCCAGTTTCCACAAAATAAGATAGCCATTTATCTTCATCTAATGGTTGGGTCAGTGCTGGGTGCTCACTGTTTAGGGTCCCCACCACCCTATTTACTCTATAATGTTCTGCAACCTCCAAAAGGGAAAGGCATATGCATTCATAAGCTTCATACTGGGTTGAACTTTCCTTTCAGAACTAGTCCAAGAACAATCTGCTCATTTTTTTTCTCAGTCTCACCAAGTGCAGATATGTTAAATCAATTAATTCTTCCTTTCAGTTAGAAGACAGAGATGGCAGAACACACATTTATCTGTCTTCCTGCAATTTCTCTGTTTATTTTGTTCCAATGAGAGAAACATTCTTACAAAAATATTTATTGCTAATTCTTAAAATTAATTCAGGACAGTGTTCTCTGTGGTTATCCTCTGTAGGTGCAGAGCAAGGAGATTATTGCATCACGATTAAGAATATTTTTACCTGAGATGGCTTAAAATTAGAAGTGGACAGTATCATGATAGTTTCAGATACATTTAGCCGCCAAAATCTCTGCCCAGCTGCAGCCCGGCTCCATCACTGCTCCAAGGGGCACTTCTCATGCCTCTTTTCAAAGCTGGGAATTTTCTGGCTTGAAAAAATGGCCACCAGAGTGCCCCTTGGAGCAGCGATGGAGGTGGGCTGCAGCTGGTGATGATTTCAGCGGTTAAATGTATCTGACACTATCAGGATGCCGCCTGCTTCTAATTTTAAGCCAGCTCAGGTAAAACACTTTTAATTATGATGATCATGATCTTCCAAGTGTTGCCACAACTAATTTTTGAATTATTTGGGGTTTGGTTTTGGTTTTTTTACCTACTCCAGCTCAGTCTTGCCTGGTGATTAACAAAGATGTCAGCTGTTTTTTAAACACACACACACACACAAATCGAGCTTGTTCTGTCAGAAGAACACCAGATTTATGAACTTTTTAAAAACTTTCAGACTATTTTTAAAGTCTTAAAAATCTTTACAATGTTTATTCACTCTTTAATAGATGACTTTATTCATTAATTTCATGAGCAGAACAGTGTTGCAACTGTCTCTGTAGCAACAATGTAATTCTTTGCTAATTTTCTTCTTGAAGGAATCAGTGAAAGTTTAAGCAATTTTCTTATCACTGTGAGAAACCCTTTGAGAACTGTTTTCTTTGGGAATTATTCTGTGAAAAATTCACCCATGCTATTTTTTTTATAGAAAACAACATTTTCTGTGCAGGAAACAGGCTTTCCTATGCAAAAACAGTTTTTTTCATATATAAATATTATTTTCTGTGAAGAAAATGTTTTTTTTTCTGTACAAAACAGCTATTTACAGTTTTTGCTTAGAACACGTCCTGAGCTGCAAAGATTCCTGTCAGTCCAGGATTCTTCTCTTGAGAGCTTTTTGACTATTGAGAGATATATCTTTCAACAATTTTTCAAATACTTTCAAATATTCTTCCCATCTCTACTTTGTTGTGACATTAGCAGATATTGTAGCTTGAGCCAACAGAAATAGCTGCATATTTCCCTGTTCCTACAAGAAAACTCTACCTGCTAAATGTGATAACTGCTAAATGTGTGCAACTATTGAAGATGCTAGATCCTCAGCAATAATAAAAGCAGTAGTATTAGTAATATGGAAAGCCAGTATGGTGTAGTGGTTTGAGCATTAGACTAGGACTCTAGAGACCAGGGATGAAATCTCTGCTTAGCTATGAAACACATTGGGTGATCTTAGGCAAGTCACACAGTCTCAGCCTCAGGAAAAGGCAAACCCCTGCTGAAAAAAGCCTTGCCAAGTAAACTCTGTGCCTTAGGGTAGCCATAAATCAGAAATGTATTTAAGGCTCACAACAACAACATTAGAATGGCTAACAATAGATTCTGGCCTAGCCAGAGTTGTTTGCTGGCAGGACCAGGAGATTCTAGCAAGTTCTGTACTCACTGATAGGCTTCACGTCACATGTAACGAGAGTTCCAGAATAACAAATATTGTAACATTGTCAGTCATTGTGCTAGAGAATGCAGAGGAAATCATATTGCTTCATTCATTCATACCAATGGGCCCATGAGTTGGGCAAAATGAGTTGATTAGCAACATACACTGACCACATAATTATAATCTGGCTCACATCACATCCATCAGAAGGAAGTGCTTCCAGAATTTATAAAAGCAGTATTTATCCTCAAAAGGTTTCAAAAGGCAGCAGCTAAGACTAATAGAGCAAACAAATTACTGCATAAAAGGCTGGATAAAAAGAATCAACTCACTGACCAGCATCTGTTAATGACATGTGCAGGCACTGGATGTGCTATACATAAAGAGTGATTTTATTTATTTATTTATTTTACAATGTGCAAAGGTCATATCCAGGAAACAAGGATGCAAGCAGAGTTGTGCATGTGCAATCATAATGCATTAAAGTAAACACAGTAGAAGCCCTGGCGGTGCAGTGGTTAAATGCCTATACTGCAGCTACTCACTCACAAACTACAAGATTGTGAGTTCGATACCAGCCAGGGGCTCAAGGTCAACTCAGCCTGACATCCTTCCAAGGTCACTAAAATGAGTACCCATCTTGTTGGGGCAATTGGCTTATACATTGTCAACTGCTTAGGGAGTGCTTAAGTGCACTGGTGAATAGTATAGAAATGTACTTGCTATTGCTATTGCTATTGCTATTGCTATTGCTATTGCTACTGCTTGCTAGCATGTGAGTGTGCATTGCCCCTATGGATTCTCTTTGCACACTGCACATTTTAATAGCACAATGGGTTGTCAGCCATACACATTGACCATTGACCCACATACATTATACTACATTGGTATTCCACACAGTATAATGTAACTCCACTGGTGGATATTTATGATGCAGTGAAGTGATGTAGGATCTCAGCCTCTGTACCATCTTGGAACCTATCTGGCTACACAGAAAAAAGTTGTCTCCATAGTTGGTTTGGTTTAACACTTTGCAACAGTTTTACAGTACAGAGCTCTCTGTACAAAAACATTTTTCTCCTTTTCTTTCTAGGGTTCTGAAGTAATAACAGTTGTTGCTATTGATGGAGATCGAGGAAAGCCTAATGACATTCATTACAGTATTATCAATGGTAAGTGGGTCAGTAGAAAATCCTAGGAATGGTACAGCCATCTGTGATGCTAAAATAACAGGGAGCTTGGGTGTCATTTAAAATATCTAAATAGGTTTTTAAAAGATATATATATAAATTGTGTTGGCATTCTATATATCTTATCCACTCACACTTTCTGGGTGACTGATATACACTGGTTGGAGTGGGTTTAGAGAAAGGTAAAAAGAATGATAAGAGGTATGGAACAAATATACAAAAGCTTGAAGGAGCTGGGCATATCCAGGCTGGTGAAGAAAAGACCAAGGAGTGACATAACTGCACTTTTTAAATACCTCAAGAGCTGCCACAGAGATGACAACACAGGCTTGTTCTCTAATGTCCCAGAGGTTAGAACCAGGTCTAGTGATTTTAACTTGCAGGAGGGTAGAATTCAATTAAACATTAGAAGGAAGTTCTTAATAGTAAGAGCAATTTGGCAATGGGACCAATTGCATAGAGAGATGGTTGGGTCTCTTTCTCTGGGGGGCTAAACAGACGGCCCTTAAGGGGTGGTGTCCCACAACCCCTTTCCTTGCCGAATTGGGGCCATGGCAACTGCATGCCTCAGCCCTGAACTGGCACTTTGCTGTTCCAAAATGAGCTGGCAAATGCTGCTCCTTTTTGAAGTGGCAAAAAGCCACCCTTGCCGCAGCAGCGGTGACTTTTCTACACTCCTTTGGCACAGCGTGTCTGAATGCTGTGCCAAGGGAGCACCTTGATGCTACCTGCCATGTGGTGGGACATGCGGCATGATAGTGGCATCAGGGCAGAGTCAGGGTGGCCAGCATGTGGTCACCACTCCCTGACTCCACCCCCAGGCTTGCCCTTTTGGCCGGTCTGTATTCCCCCTGGATGTCTTCAAAAAGAGGCTGGACAGCTATCTGCTGAGGATGGTTTCGCTGAAGATCTTGCACTGAGCAAGGGATTTACTGGGTGGCCCATAAAACCCCTTCCAACTATGTGGTTGTCTGATTCTATGGAAAGCGAAGCACCATCCCATCAAAGCTATCCTCATTTTTGGCCCATAGCACTCAATTAAAAAAAATATCTAAATGCATGCTAACCTCTTTACTGCAATCAGCAGAATACAGAAAAGCTCAGTCTTGGCTATGTGCTGCCCTTTATCATTTTTAAAGGTAAATTTACATATATATATATATAATTATTTTATTTGATGGTGTCATATTATTATTATTAAGCTTCCCAAGCCTGCAGCATTATTTACAACAATTAATGCAGAGTCACAGTAAGAACAATAGCAAACATCCTGCATCAAGAGAACACAATATTTTTATCATGAAATTAATTGGACTGAGCCATTAGAGAATTGTAATGTTGTGCAAGGAAGTGTGCAACGAAAAGCACATATGCATCTCCATGCATAATATACATATGTGGTGACCCATACACACAAATCCACTTCCACAACCTTGAACCAAATGCTCACATTCTACATCAGACAAAAAAAAAAAAAGCCTAGTTGCTTCCATAGAGAAGCATAGGAATGCTATTTTTAGCCATTTATATTGTAAAGAGGTTAGAAGATTGGTTTTTTTAAAAAAAAATCCTCCAACCTTCAAATAGTAAAAAACAGAGCACTTCCATAAAATCTTGTTCTTTATGGAGTTTTTTGTACCCTTATTATTTCAGGAGCTTTAACTAGTGGAATGACAAAAAGGTGTGTGTGTGTGTGTGTGTGTGTGTGTGTGTGTGAGTTTCAGCCTAATCCTTCCAAAAGTCCTCTTTCATTGAAAACTCACAATGGACTTTGTTATAAATTACCAATTTCCACACAGCAATTAGGAAATATCTTGATGTATGAGCACTAGAAACTGCTATCGACTTCATTTCCATTGTAGTCAAGATTTACTTTTTGGGTCTATGAATCTTGGTAATGGCCTTCCACATAAGTCAATATATGCTCATTGTGGAGTCTAATGCCCACTAATGAAGTCACACTTATTGCAGATATTAGCAAAATGGGACATTATTGGGCAGTTTTAAAAAATGGGCATTGACATCAAATTAGAGAAAAGGAAACGGAACAATAATTCTGCTGTTTTCTTTATCTGGCTTTCCTACACATTTACTTTTGAACAAGTCCGAAGAACATGTTTCATCTCCAATATAGGGGAAAAGAAGGTAAAGAACATGGACTTGTTATACTGGGTATGTTGAATATGCATGTAGTCCCTAGGGCCACATACATGGGGCCCTAGTTAGTGATAGCATTGGTTATATATTTGTGGGGAGTGGAGGAAAGGAAGTAGACAAGGAGCAAGGGACATTCCTCTCATTTCCCTACATGTTGGTATGATCCAATGTGGCACTAGCTAGAGGAAATTTAAATGAGATCACAGGAAGATGGTGACCTAGGCTGAGACAACTGTGGGTCTGACTGGACAACAGGTTTATCATGCTTTTAGAAGAGATGCTCCTCTAAGTAGTAAAAGCAGGGTCAGCTGCTGGACCCACTGCTGGAAGGGGAGTAAATCTCCTCTTGATTCTACTGTGGCTTCTCATACTATGACTCCAATTGGAATCCTGCCAGTATCCAACCTATCATTGCTTCTCGGCCTTTTGGCTAAGATCAAGTGTAGTATCTATAATCCAAGACTAGGAGTGGAGCTAGTCAGTGCAGAGCAGCTGGGAGAGTTATGGCAATAATACCGAGGGTGGATTCACTGCCTTCACAGTTAGGATCCACTGGCCATCTTAGCCCCAGCAAAGGAAGACTACTAGAGGGTTCAAAGCATATATAAATGAAGTGAGGGCATTTAAGATATGTGTAAGTCTGCTTACACATATGCTGATATATATGCTATTCCTTCTACATATTGATGACTCCACATATAAAAAATGGAGGTAACAAGTTAATTTAACAGCAATTAAATGGGCCTGTGTGCTATGTGTGAACACTCAAATACTTTCAATTCAGAAGAAAGCATGCATGTTAAAATATGTTTTGTCCTGTGTTGATAATAATCAAAGATGTGGTTGGGTGGGTGGGTGAAGAGAGAGAAGGGGGTAACTATAAATGCTTTTAACATGCATAGCTTTGGGAAAAAATAGAATTACTCAAGGGTCATTTCGTGCTACACAGTTATAGCACTATGATTACACTTTAACTGCCATGGCTGCATCCTATGGAACCCTAGGGTTTCTAGTTTAGACAGAAAGTAGAGCAGCTCTCTGACTGAGATTTCTATATACACTGCCCTAATTTACAAATGCCAGGATTCCACAGGACAGATCGATGGCAGATAAAATGGAATCATAGTGCTATAATTGCATAGTATAAAAAAACCTTCAATAGTTTTTGAGAGGATGTTTATTTTTTCCTTCTCCTCTTGATCCTGAAATCTTCACTGCCACCATCTTTATTTCAAAGGTACTGATACCTTCGTATTGTCTTTAGTAGGACACTGACCATGGATAGGCTTTAAAAATATATAGAAGAAATTGAACAAGTATGTTTCCATTTCAGTACAATGCACTGGATCCAGATTTAGTCATGGTTACAGCAGAAAGTTTGAAATCAATGAGAAGAGTTAGCCATGGGTAATCAAAGTTGTATTGATCT